TTTAAAGCACTTTTCAAAATACAATGTAAAATATTATATATAAATGCAAGGTATTATTAGCATATCAAATATTTATTTAGCCAACATTGTTATTACTATTTCTTGGTGTGCTGTAAAGTACACCCTTATTGTTAGGGTCCCAGGGGAACAGAGCCTCATTCCATTACAAGTTGTTTTTAATCACTCTTGTGGCTGGCTCAGAGTGGAGCAGGGGTATAGATAGATAAGTCAAAACATCCGATAATCCAAAAGCAATTTCTGCTTGGAATGCATCTTGAGACTCTCTTTTCCTCTAGAGGTGTTACCTTCCTAATTCTGTTTTGCTGAGGCTGATATTAAAATGGGTTTGCATTCTCAAAACGCACACAGACTGCCAGCAATAGCATGGATGTCAGGGGTGAGCCAGCTTGGAATGAAAAAGGAGTCAAGGACTAACGATTAATAAGCAGCCATTTCTGGGGTGTCTACCCTACGTAAGGCTCTCTGCTGGGCACTGTGGGAGATAAAGTGAAAGAAAAGGCAATGTCTTCCTAGGCAGGCAGTGTCCTTGACTGGGACAGATAATAAGTATTGTGGGCATTCAGAGAGGGGGTTGATAGATCACTGTGGGCTAGGATAATCAGGGGAAGTTTCATGGAGGAGATGGTTTTTGAAGGATGAGAGGGACGGAAAAGAGAGAAGGAAGTTGGTCCAAGATAAGCAGGGGAATGAGTTTAGCAGGTATGGGAGACAGTGAGGAGGCCAGTTTAGCTTAAAAGGATGGACAGTTCAGGTAGTAGAAGACCATACGGGAGACCACAGAAATTGGAAAATGGAAGGGACCTGAGAGGCCAGTTTTTCCAACCTCTCCATTTTACAGATAAGCAAACTGAGGTCTAGAGAAGTTAAGTGACTTACACGGAAGTAAGCATCAGAGGCAAGATTTGAGCCTAGGTTTTCTGACTCCAAAGCCAGTGTTCTTTGGGGCTAGACTGGAGTATTGAAGGTCAAAGTTAGAAAACGCATGTATCGATTGACATGCGTCCGTTTTTACTTCATTCATTCTGCTTGATAATTCAACATTTATTCTGACTTCTCATGTACAAAACACTTTCCTTGGTGCTTGAATGAAAAACTGAAAGGAAAAAGGTCCTGTCCCTTCGGGGTTTAGGGGATTTCCTGAGGAATACCACACAAGTGGGATACAACACAATCCATTAGGGTAATACAATGGTCCAGCTGATTCTTTGTATGCAAGAGCAAGACTTTACATTTATCCCTACTGGTTTCATTTTATTAGATTTAGCCCAGTGCTCTGGCCTGTCAGAATCTTTTTAGATCCCAGTTCTCTCCAGTTCAGTGTGTTAGCTGTCCGTCCTAGCTATGCAGCATCTGCATAGCTGATGAACATATTATCTATGCCTTTATTCAAGTCATTGGTGAGACATTTTAAACAGCGCAGGGCCAAGCATGGATCCCTGGGGTACTCCCCGGGAGACCTCCTGCCATGATGGCAGTGAATCATTAGTCTCTGAGTCCAGCTATCTGATCACTTTGGCATCCATCTGATTGCACTATTGTTTCATCCACATCTCTCCATCTTTTTATTTTTTTTCACAAGAATGGAGCAGGAGATATTTTAACAAAAGCTTTGCAAAAAAATCTAGGTTAGGGATCCACCACTTTCCCCTCATCAGCTAATTTAGTCATTTTGCCAAAAAAGGAAATGAGGTTAATCTGGCATGGTCTGTTCTTGACGAGCCTTGCTGGCTCTCTGTAATCACCACTTCCCTATCTAGGTGTTTAACAAGCATCTCTTTAACCATCTGTTCTAGAATGTTCCGAGGATTTGGAGTAAAGCTCATTGGTCTATAGTTTGAAGGTCCTATTCTCTTCCATTTTTTGAAAACAGGGGCATCATTTGCCCTTCTCCTATCTTATGACTCTTCTGTTTTCCACGATCTTCCAAATAACACTGACAGCAGGTTCAGCAAATGCATCACAGGTGGTTCATAGAGAAGGATGAAGACTGAGATTTAATGACTAAGTGATCAGAGTCATAGCCTCACAGATTTCAAGCTGGAAGGGACATCCTAGTCCGACTCTCCCATTTTAGACATGAAGAAACTGAGGATTAGGGAGGTTAAACGACTGGCCTGGCATCACAGGTGGTAAATAACAGTCAGGACCCAGATTCTCTGCTTTCAGAATTAGCAGTACTATTTTCACTATTGTGTTGCTTTCTTGATGGATCATCAGTGACCTTTGAGAGAACAGTTTTAGTGAAAGGGTGGCACCAGAATCCAGATTGCAAGGGGTTGCTAAGTGAGTGGGTGGAGGAAGTAAAGGAAGTGAAAGGAGAAGATCCTTCCTAGAAGTTTTGCAGTGAGAAGAAGGAGAGATTTGGGATAATAGTTTGAAGGTCTGGCTGCATTGAATGAATGTTTTTTAAAGGATTAGATAAACCTGAGCAGATTTGCTGGGAGCAAGAAAAGAGCCAGTGGATAGGTAGAGATTGAAGATGACACGGGAGAGGGAATGACCAATGGGGTAAGTGCCTGTAAGAGATGGTGGGGCCTGAGGTAGGGAATGAATTAAGGGCACAGGTAGAAGGACTGATCTTGGCAAGGATGAGATCTATCTCTTCCTCAAAGGCAGGACTAAAGGAGGAAAGGATAGGTGAAGGTGTGGCAGGGGTTGAAGTTCTGCAGTATGGGAAAAGGGAGAGGTCATAATGCATGATTTCAACTTTCTTAGTGTAGTAGTAGGAGAGGACATCTATTGATGAGAGACTTGAGAAGAGGGAGAGAAGATCATGCTGAGGGGAATAAAGTGGCTCATGAAGGAAGAATAAAGGTTTTGTTTTGCAGAAGTAAGGATCTAGTTGAGAACAGCTCACAATGAATTTGTAGTAGACTCATTTGCCATGGTGGTATAACTACGACCAGAAACACCCAGAAGCTTAGGAGTACGAGCAGAAAAGGTTGACGGCGGGGATGATGTAGGCTCAAGGATAGGCAGAGTGTGAATATTAGAATTTCAAGGGGGCAAAGGAATCATGGATGGAGGTCAATGTGGAGTTGAATTGGTCAATTATAGAATAAATAGTGTGAAGAGAGAAAAGTGAGGTCAGAGCAAAGGTGATGGATGGTCTGGGAGAAGAAAGAGGAACTAGAAGTTGCCATGAAGATGAATAGATTTAGGAGAAATGAGGCAGAACGGGAGATGGAAGGACATGTGATTATGATCAGAAAAGGATTTTTCAAAGCTTTCTTTTTCCAAAATACTAGAAGTGGCCATTATGAGCAACGGGGAGATGTAAGGTCTGTCTCTCCTTGTGGGGAGCTGAGGTAGAGTGAGACTATAAGTCATGGTGGTTGAGGAGGCTAATGATTTGGGAGGTGAGGATATTTGAAAAGGCATCAGAGTATACACTAGATTCCTCAAGTGACTGTGAGTTGGATGCTAAATTCTTAGAGAAAGGAGATAGAGTGAGCTGGAAACACAGAAACAGGAATCTGGACCAGTTGATATGAACCTTAAAGGATGAGAGGTTCTAGAGTGGTCCTCATAGAGGAAGAGTCTGAAACTGGTGGGGAGTAAGAAGTTTATCGTCTCTTCCTCTTCCTCTTCCACCAGTGTGTCAGGGTACAGGAGAAAAGTATCAACCAGCAATCAGGAGGATGGACATCTATGCATTGTCTTCAGGCAACAGGCAGGTTTCTAGGAGCATAATAGGAAGGATACAGTGCATCAGGTCCTCGAGTGTGGCCTCAAGGCCACGGGTTCCCCACTCCTGACATGGTATGAGAAGAGGTCTGGGAAGGAGGCAAGTTTGTTCGTGGTAAAGCCAAAGTTCTAAAGGTTATAATGGAGAGAAGAGGAGGAAATGGACCGAGAGGTAATACGCTCGAGTTAGAGGAGTATGCAAGTACCGGGAAGAAAACTTGCTTCCTGGGAGACGGTGCCTGAATTTGGTGACTTGGATTCAGGGAAGCGAAGGACGCACACTTGCTAGCTACAGTTACTGTTTGATCACAGGCTCTGTGGTGATGGGGGGTGTTGTTGTTTCATTTCCAAACAACAGGGATCTGACAGTGGTGGGGAGGGCATGGAGTTTGGGCTAGGAATCTGAGTACCCATAAACTGGACTCAATTCTCACATACAAGCATATTAGTTATATTTCCAAGATGGCAGAGTTTAAGGCACACCTAGAGCTAGCCCATGCAAGGAACATGCACTAGGTTCTTTTGCTGGCCTGGTATCTGAAGCCCTGCTCCTTTTGATATTATGACATTACCTGAAGTTGGGGAGCATTAGGCCTTTGCCTGAGGTGGCAGTCTCTCCAGCTCCAGGTATGGTGTCTGAGACCCTGTCACAGTAACATATTATTAATGAATAAGAAGTCTAGTAATTAGCAATAGTGTTTGGAGCTGTGTTTCTGTTCCTTGAGATCAAGAACCCAATTAAGTTAAATATTTCACTTATTTTTTTAATAGTATTTTATTTTTTCCAATTACATGTAAATGTGTTCAACATTCATTTTTGTAAAATTTTGAGTTCCAAATTTTTCTCTCTTTCTCCCTCCACCTTACCTCCCCAAGTCAGCAAGCAATCTGATATAGGTTATACATGTACAATCATGATAAACATATTTCCACATTAGTCAAAATATTTCACTTATTAGAGTCATTTATCAATGATCTAGAACACAGCCAAGAACTGAAAAGCAGTCTTTTGTAGCTGAAATAATGATAAATGATGTACTTGACTCTGAATCAATCAACAAACAATTAAGCACCTACTATGTGCAGGTATTGAAGATACAACTATTAGCTAACATTTATACACAGCAGCTGTGACGTGTCAGGTTCTGTGCTAAGTGCTTTACAAATATTTCATTTTATCCTCACAACAACTTTGGGAGGTAGGTGCTATTATCATCTGCACTTTACAGACAAACAGAGGTTAAGTGACTTGCCCAGGGTCATACAGCTAAGTAAATGTCTGAAGCTGTATTTGAATTCAGGTCTTCTTGGCTCTAGGCCCAGTGCTCTATCCACTGTACCACTTACTTCCCCTATATACAAAGAATATACTCTCAGGAACTTTATGTTCCAACTGGGGAGGCAATGTTACATACATAGACGATATAGAATAAACATATATAAGATACATAGAACAAAAATAAAGAGAATAATGCAAATTAATACAAGGTAGTTAGGGAGCAATTGAGGGGAGATCAGGAAAGGATTTATGTAGAAAATAGTATATGACCTGTTTAAAAGTAATGAGGGATTCTGTCAGGTAGAGGTAAAGAGGGAGTACATTCCAGGCACAGGGACCAGCGAAATCGTGGACGTGGGAGATGGAGTACTCTAAGTGAGAAACAGAAAGAAGGCCAATTTGTCTGGATGTCTCCAGCCCCATCTCCTCATTGCTTCCAGTTGTATGGAAATCATGAAAAGGCACTGAATTCAGCTTTGTGCACTAACTCACATTTCTTCCAGTCTAAAGATAGATCTAGAAATGGTCAGTCCTGGACTCTCCCTAAGGGCCTAACATTGACCTCAAAGTTTCTTGATCCAGCACTGGGATTAACAACAATGATGATGACAATGACAATGATGATGATGATGATGATGATGAAAACTCCCGTTTATATGGGATGTCTCGCAGTTACCTAGACGCTAAATGTGGGAACCAGTATTTGAACTGCTTTCCTATCTTCAAGTCAATAACATTTCCCACTATACCACTACCTTTATCCCCAAATGAATCTAATGCTCTACCAGTCACATGGCCCTGTAGGTCCACAAGTATGGGCCTTTGACTGAATCCAAACTTCGTATAACAGATTTGTGGATTCAAAGGACCTAGAGGGACACATGTGGCCTCGAGGCCGCAGGTTCCCCACCCTTGCTAGACTTACCATTCCTCTTTTTTAATTTCTACTTATTGGCAGAAAAAAAGGGTTCATTGAGTGATTGATTTGGTTCTTTCACTCACCCAAAATTTATTAAGAGCCTACTGAGTATAGTGACTAGTACCAGATGAGAGAGAAAATTCAAATAGCACAGTACTGAAGCTTACAACCTAATGAGGACTACTCAAATGCAGATAAACACAATACAAACAATTGTATGATAAGCACATAAGAAAACTGCAAAACAAAATGTTTTGCAGGGCCTGAGGGAGAAGGTCATTACCAACCTTGTATCTGCAGTAAAAGAAGGAGCCTTCCCTCATATCTTCTGGCCTAGGGCCACATGAATCAGAAGCCCCCCCACTGGGGTCTAAGGTGCCAGAAATTACTCAGAGCTCCAAGTAATGCATTCATCACTTGCTGCTATGAAGAAAACTTCATTATAATTGTTGGCTTGGGGCTACAATATTCGTGACCAGCACTGGAGGTAACAGAACATTGCAAGATTCAAATTAGAAACTTTTTTTTCCTTTAAAGCAGAGAGTGATTTTATTGTCTAGCATCTTATGAAATCTTTCTAAATCAAAATGAATTTTTTTAGTACCAGTTCGGAGGCCTAAGAGGGTGTGGTGTGGCTTTGGAATTATAGAAACTTTTTAGATTTCAGAAAGATTATAGCATACCCCCAAAATAAAACACTGTGTTTCTCTGGGTGTTTGTTAGTCACATTTGTGAAATGTGAGCTCACTCCCACCCCCAACATGTGTGGGGGAAAGTTTTTGCTTTTTTTTTTTTTTTTTTGGATCTCAAAGCCAGTGAAACTTCTGGCAGAGAAACCAGAGGGATTTGGTGTTAGGTAACCTCTCAGAGAGACTAACCCATATTCATTTATATTACATAGCACTTCAGGATTACTAAATGGTTTCACCTGTACTTCTTTCTTCTCTCTTTAAAACAACCATGTGAGGCAGGTGCTGCAAATATTGTTTCCATTTTATAGATGAATAAATAGAGATTCAGAGATGGGCAGTGAGTAAACAGTGGGGCCCAAACTCAGTCCCAGGTCTTTGAATTCAAATTTAGGTACTCTTTTCACTACACTTTATTGCCCTAAAGTATGCCTAGTTCACTTGCTATGGTTGTCTATGACAAAAAGGCACTGAGAGGGAGTGGGACAGAGCTTTTGGAAAGGTTGGAAGACTAGGTAGCAAGTATCCTCTGGGAGGGCAGGCACAATTGGGACACTTTAGAATAAGGTCCTTGGCAAACAGAATGAAGCTCCTAAGATGGAGAAGGGCCTGTCAACAAACTTCATTTTCCCATTCATTTTTCCAAGGGCCCGCCTTGCTATATGTAGTACTACTCCACTTATCCTTTGAAAAGGAGAGTACAGGATTGCAGAGCTAGGCTGCTGAAGCAGAGATCCATCAGCAAAACTATGATCCAGGGCTTGAGGATTGGAGTAAGTTGCCTTTGGTTTTCAATCAATATTAAAAAAAATACCCAAGATTACATTCCCGGAGGGAAAAACTAAATTATAGAAAGGAGATGAGGAGTCCCTGATCTTTCACAGATTTCATGAAGGATTTAAGAGCTCCACAAATACCTGCCATTTGTGAATAGCTCTTGGATTGTTGACTAGTCTGTCATATGCTGGATAGGTCATATGTTTTCTGAGCTCTCTTTACGTCAACATTAGTTAACCAAGTGTTTGGTACATACTGCTTCTGGGGGCCAGAGCAATTCAAGCATCAACAAAAGGAAGAGACCACTGAACAGTGGATTGCTCAGCTGACAAAAGGAGGCACCCACCTCCAAACCATAGTCACATATAGTTTGAATTTGAAACACTTGTTTCACTTTTTGGATCTGACAGAGAACTCTCTCTTTTAGCCTTTTCCAATCCAATAACAAACATTTGAGAGGCACCTGGCATAGTAGATAGAGAGTTGTTCTTGGAGTTAAGAAGCTCTGGCTTTGTATACTGACTTTCTCATACACATTGGCTTTTTGTCAATTTCTTAAAATCTTAGTGGGACGCCCCGGTGCACACACTCTGGGTAACTCTCCATGACTGTATGGCAAGGAACAAATGTAGACTTGAATGAACAGGGGGAGTTCCCCTCCCTTGATCAAACCGCAGGACTAATACCTACTATATATAGACCACTAGGCTAGGTATTGGGAATACAGAGATGAACTAAGATGTACCCACAGTTCCTGTCTTTAAGGACCTTGTTGGGGAGAATGTGACATGCACACAAACTACTATGGTATGAGTAAACAGGTCATCGAAAAGTAAGGGTGACCCTCTGACTTAGCCCTGATAATCTGCTAACTAACTTGCTGCTGACCGGGAGACAATGCCATGCAGTAGAAAGAGTGTTAATTTTGGAGTCAGATGTCATGGGTTCGAATCTAAGCCCTGCTACTTATTACTTGAGTGACCTTAGGCAAATGACCTGACTTCTTTGGGCCTCAGTTTCCTCTTGTGAAAAATGAAGGGGTTGGACTAGATGGTTGTTAGAATCTTTTCCAGGTCAAAATCTATGAGCCTATGACTAGACAGGAAGTAGAGCCCTACCCTTTACGTCAGAGGGGACTTTGGGATTCAATGCCACCTGAAAAAGAGGCAGATAGATGGATAGAGTGCTGGGCCTGGAGTCAGGAAGACCTGAGTTCAAATGTGGCCTCAGACATTTACACTTACTAGCTGTGTGACTGTGGGCAAGTCACGTGACCCTGTTTGCCTCAGTTTCCTCATTTGTAAAATGAGCTGGAGAAGGAAATAGCAAATCATTCCAGTATCTTTGTCAAGAAAATCCCACATGGGATCACAAAGGATCAGACATAACTGAAATGACTGAACAACCACAAGGATTCTATAAGACTGGAGTGAACAACAACATCTGAAGAAGATAGCAAATCATTGCCTTATCTGATCTTTTGATGATCATCTTTAATTAACAAGCCAGAGACTCAAATGTAGACCTCAAGAGGGCTTCTCTGCCTTGGATAAGGAGAGAAAAAAAGAGAGAAATTCCTGTTAATCACTAGACGACTGAATTTTTCTTTAACTAGTGGTTATAAATAACACAAATTTGAATATGATTGTATAGGAGAGGTAACAGAGACTCATAGCTTAGTAAAATACTGAATTCTGAGTCAAAAAACTAGGGTTTGCATTCTGGCTCTGCTATTTACTTCCTTTGTGACCTTGGGAAAGTCATTGAATGTTGCCTTGTCTGTAAAATGACTGGGTTGGATTAAATGATTTCTCTGAGGTCCCTTCCAGCAGTGAATCCTACGATCCTCCATTGTGACTTATGGTTGAATTTTCCAAAGGGAATGTCTCACCCTGATTGTATAATCAATGATAAGATATCTGAAGTTTGGCTCAGAATCATAGCATCCCAGAGGCCATCTATACCGTCTATTCCCATGTATCCAACCTGTAGCCCTCTAGGGCTCCCCTTGGCATCATCTCCATGGGGCTGTTCAGCCTTGGCTGTAAGACTTTCAAGGCATCTCATTCTACTTTTGAATAGTTCTAATTGCTCAGAAATTTTTCCTTACTTGGAACTTAAATGTTCCTTTTCCCAAGTTCCACTTGTTGCTTCTACTTCTACTTTCTGGGACCAGGCAGAAGAAATACAATCACTTTATCATCTGACGCCCTTTCCAATACTTGAGAATAGCCATCACTCCCCTTGCCACAATTTTTTTCTTTTCCAAACTTAACATTCCCACTACCTTCATCTGATACTTATATGGCATAGATTTGAGGGCCCTTACCATCCCAGCTGCCTTTTAGCATAGTACAGTGGAAAGAACACGGCTCTAGAGTCAAAGGTGATCGGTTCAAATCTCACCTTTGATCCTTACTAGCCATGTGACCTTGGGCAAATCATATGATCTCCCTGAGCCCCAGATCCCTCATCTGTGAAATAAGAGGTTAGACTAAATGATCTCTGAGATCCTTTCTAGGCGCTCTTAGTGGAAAGAACATTGGGCCTGAAGTCAGAATGATTTGAGTTCAAATCTGCCTCAGGAACCTAGTAGATGAACGTCCTTGGGCAAGTTTCTTAACCTCTGCCTGCCTCAGTTTCCTTATCTGTAGAATGGAAATAATGATAGCACCTACCTCTCAAGGTTGTTGTGAAGATCAAATGAGATGTTATTTGTAAAGCACTGTGTAAACTTTAAAGTATTATAGAAATGCTAACTATTATTATCACTATTACTATCTTTCCTAAAATATAATGTACAGAACTCATCAAAATCTTCCCCGTGTTGTCTGACCAGGTCAAAGTGCAGTGGGAGCTTTGTGATCTGAGACAGTATTTTTAGAATACTTTTACCTCTTGTATTCTGCAGATATTCATAAGGACTAGATTATCTTCATAAAGTTGACATTTCATTCATTCATTCATTCATTGATTCATTGATTCATTGATTCATTCATTCATTCATTCATTCATTCATTCATTCATTCATTCATTCATTCTACTAGCCTGTAATTTCCTTGAGGGCAGGAGTTCTATTTTATTTAAGCACTGTATCACCCCAGTGCCTAGCAGAGAATTTTGCCTAATCATTGCTTAATATCTATTTGTCATATTCATTCATTCAATAAAATGTTTATTAAGCTTCTATTGTGGTCAGGGTTCTGTGCTAGACACTAAGAGAGATAAAAAGATAAATAACATATGATCCTGCTCCCTAAAGAGCTTACAGTCTAATAGAAAAGGAGCTTAAAATCTAAATATTTTGATCAAATAAGATGTTGGAATGGAGGGCTTATTGATGCAAAATAGTTAGAAATTAACTTTCCTGTGGGCAGGATTCCTAACAGAAAGGGGTAGGCGGTAGTTAGTTGGACCAAGATGTCCTCTGGAGATAACAGAAGCTCTCTCCCACAGGTGTCCTTTGGTGAACAGTACAACTCAAGCCAAATTACCCTTCCTTCCCTGTTGCTGTTTGGAGGTGTGTGCATCCAACCCTGCACATCCCCATCCTCATTTTAATTTCATTTTGACGGTTTTATTTTCTCTCCCACACCTGCTCACACATGCACACACAGTGTAATTACATCAACGATTCAGCAGTTCAGCAGCAAATTTAAAACCAGCACAGCTTTGCAGCAAATGCAAGAAGTTATATAAAATTCATGGGCTGTTCATCTTGGAGCAACAGGAGAAGCAAACACAGAGGCAGCCCAGGCATTTGAAAATTACACTGTGTGCTCACTGATCCTGGGTGAAAGAGCAAAGCTGGAAACCGTGCTTTCTGCACTGAGTGACAGGTTATTTGCTTAGGAGAAAGCAAGAAGCAATTAGATCCTCCTTTCAAAGCCTCCTCCCTGAGTCCCCAAATTATTGTCTGTCCTCCAATGGCTCTTGAAAGTACCCAGCTTGGTCCAATCTGCTATTGCAGAAAGTGATTTCCAGGAGAAGAATATGAGATTTACTCAAATTCTGCACACCAATTTGGATCGGCATTCATACCTGCCACCCTCTGTTGCATGTCTTCCCTGACTTCTCTCTGAATTATTCTCTGTCTCTGTCTCTCTGTCTCTGTCTCTTTCTCTCTCTCTGTCTCTCTCTCTGTCTCTCTCTCTCTCTCTCTCTCTCTCTCTCTCTCTCTCTTTCTCTCTCTCTGTCTCTGTCTCCCTCTCTCCATCTCTCACTCTCCATCTCTCTTCTCTCTCTTTTCCGCCCCCCCCCCCACATACACACACACATACGCACGCGTTTTATAGTTTTAAAGCATTCTGGGTATGCTTGAGTTTTCTGAGTCTCTATTTCCTCATTTGTAAAATGAGGGAATTAAGCTCACAGGGTTATTGCAAGGAAAAGTGCTTTGTCACCCTTAAAGTACTATATAAATTTGAATGATTGTTATTATTACGCTTACATCTCACAACAGCTCTGAGATGTGAGATGCAGGTTTTAATATCCATTTTTATATGGAAATGTATGGCTGGAGGAAATGGATGCTCTAAGAAGTTAACTATCTTGTCCAAGGTCATACTGTCAGTAGCAGGTCTTAGCTTGGACCAAATGATATAATATGTGAAAAGCACTTAGCATGGGGCCAAGAGCATAGTAGGTGCCTTATAAATGCTTATTTCCTTCCCCTTCCCATGTCTCCTCCCCATGTCAGGCACACACCCAGTTCTTTTAGGCTCCTAGTCTCTTTCCTCTATGCCCTCTTTCCCTATGATCATGGAACAAAAAGGGGAATCCTTGGGGTTCGACTGTTAGTGAGACCAAAGCAAAAAGCAAAGAAAACAAGGGTGTTTTTGAATTGTCTTTGAAGTGATGACGTTAGATTATTTCCTTTACACATTTTCTAATAAATCTTATTTTATTTTTAACTAAACTATTTGTTGTGACAGTTTTTCATAAACATATCATCAATTCTCCACTAAACCAGCATTTCACACTTAAACCACCCCTACCAAGAAGATAAAGGAGAAAGAAGATATGGAGAAATTAGGATTAGGGACACATACCTTGGGATTAGAAAGGAGGTGATTCATGAGGGCTGTTGTTGCAGAAACAAAGGCATAAGATCCCTTCTGTCTCCTGATATCTCTCATAGCTAGAAGTTCCAGTTAACGTCTGGGTGTAAGGCTTAGGGATTTTTGCAGGTGGAATGCTGAAATTAGGCAGAAAATACAATTATCTATGGGAAAGGCTACCAGATAACCTGGTTTAATAGGAAAAGCACCAGAATGGGAAATGGGAGACCTGGGTTCTAGTTCCTAGGTTGGTAGCTAACTTAGGACGTTAGCCAGCCAATCAACTATTGTCAATCAACTAGCATTTACTAAATGCCTCCTGTGTGCCAGACAGTGTGCTAAGTGCTGGGGAAACCCTGTCCAAAAGAAGCCAAAATTAGTCCCTGCCCTCACAGCACTCACAGTCTAATTGGGGAGACCGTGTGTGAACAATTATGTACAAACACAATATATACAGGTTTAATTGGGAATTTTCTCAGAGAGAAAACACTAAGATTAAGGACTAGGGAAGGCTTTTTGTAGAAGGTGAGACTTCAGCTAAGACTTGAAGCAAGCCAGGGAAGCCAAGGGGTAGAGATGATGAGGGAAAGAGTGCCAGGCATGGGAGATTTCAGGGGCATTCGGGAAATGGAACATCGAGGACATCAGTGCCACTGGATTGCAGAGTACTTGGAAGAGAATGAAGTTTTATTTTTGGGGGGGCTGGGGTTTAGGCAATTGCGGTTAAGTGACTTGCCCAGGGTCACACAGCTAGTAAGTGTCAAGTGTTTGGTCTGAGGTTGGATTTAAACTCAGGCCCTGACCTCAGGGCCGGTGCTCTATCCATTGCGCTACCTAGCTGCTCCGGGGAGTGAAGTTTAAGAAGACTCTGTGATCTTGAACATGTCAGTTCACTTTCCTGGGCCACAATTTCTTTGTTTTTAACATGTGGAGTGGGGAGTAGATCAGATGATCACCAAATTGTTGAATGCTGGAACAGGAGGGAACCTTAGAACATAGAATATCAGAATGCAGAATGTCAGGGATGCGGGGTGGGGTGCGGGGAGCCTTAGAATATAGACTGTTAAAGGATAGAATGTTGAACCTGGAAGGAAGCTTAGAACATAGAAAGTCAGAACAAGGAACGTTCTACATTGCTGAGTCTAACCTCTACGTGCTCTGCTCCCACAGCCACTGCCCTCGTTCAGGCTCTCATCACCTCTTTCCTACATCATTACAACAGACTTCTATTTGTTCTCCTTGCCTTAAGTTTTTCTCCACTCCAATCAGCCTCCATTCAGCTGCCAAAGTATTTTTTCTAAAGTACATATCTGACCACTCCACTCCTCTACTCAGTAAACTCCAGCGTCGCAGAGTCTTTTGTTAGCATTTGAAGAGCTTCATTACCTGGTTCTTTCCTACCTTTGCATTCTTCTTACTGTTTACTCCCCTCCTCACACTCTCATGCAATGAACTGTTCCTTCCACATGACACTCCGTTTCCCATCTTTGTGCTTTTTTATTGGCTTTGCCCCATGCCTAAAATGCTATCCCTCCTCACCTTCATCATTTAGCTTTCCTGTTTCCTTCAAGACAGACTTCCAATCTCACCTTCTTCAGGAAACTTTTTCTAGTCCCCCAGTTGCTAGTGCCTTGTCCTTGGAGATTACCTTTTATCTACTCTGTATATATCTTATATGTTCCTAGTTATTTACATTAGACTGTGAGCTCTTTGAGGGCAGAAGTGGTTTTGCCTTACTTTGTATTTACAGCCCTTAGAACAGTAGTACATTTAGAACAATACCTGTCATATAGGAAGCATCTAATAACTACTAAATGCTTGTTGACCGACTGACTGAAGTGGGCCAGAGTGGACATCAGGGTCAAGTAGCTGGTAAAGCAAGGTTTCCACGCAGATTTCCTGACTCTTGAGCCTAATAATGCTTTCCTATCACATGACACTGAGAGGGTTGCTACATGTTGGGATTTTTGAAAACTTGGAATTTTTTGTTTTCATACTCAGATATTTTTATACTTTTTTTGATATCTTATGAGTCAGGGTAGGGAGGGTCTGCCATCTCCTCACTGGCCAGGCTGAATTGTCAGGTAGTAATGCTTTAGAGACCCAGATCAAATATCATTCATTGAAGTCATGGCCTGAAGGGTCAATATAAATCCAAAAAAACCCACTACTCCTCCAGTTAGACCCTAACTCTGGGCTTCTCAGGTGACCTGTATCATAGTGTGCTTGTTTCTCTCAGGGAGAATTCAAAATTTCTCTTCTCGCAGTCCAGTAGCTTTCTGGTCTATGAAATTCCTTTTCACTGAGAGTCCAGGAAAATCTGTTAATCAGACAAATTCTCCCATCAGGCTCTGTGCTATATCTGCTCAGTGGAGCAGGATTGGGCTTAGGTTCCGCAATTAATTATTTTATACCCACTCCAACATCTCTGGTCCCCTTTTCCTTTCTGTCCCAGTCCCCATCATCCTATCATTAGTCTCATTTGGCCCTGAGGATGAAGGTTCATTACTATTAGTGAGAAAATGATTCATTTGTTTAGTGGAGAAACAGGGCTGTTTTTTTCTCTTTGTCTCTCTCCTTATTCCAGGGGCAATGAAAAGGCCTTTTGATGTACATGTTTGTGTCTCTGCCTTCTTTATTAAGGATGATTTTAAAAGGTCAAACAAGACAAAGTCTTCTCATTGGCAGTGGTTCGCTGATAGTTTCAGATGTCAATGAAGCCTGAAGCCCTCCTCTCTGGCATGGTGGCGGCATGTGACACAAAGGGGGAACGTCAGGGCCTGTCTGGTCAGTCAGGAGGCAGTTGGCAAATGGTCAGGGTGAAGTCAGAGAAATCTGTCTCCTCTTTCTTTTTAGTGACCTTTCCTTTTACTTATGCCATCTCTCTTCCCTGCCAAAAAGGCTCTGGCATCTTTCTGCTGGAGTTTCTTTTTTTCCATCTTCATCCAATCAAAATCTGTTCTATTTGTGGCACTTCTGAACTCTGAAGACTTTTGGCTTTTCCACCTACATGATTATAGCTGAATTTGTGTGTGTGTGTGTGTGTGTGTGTGTGTGTTCACACACACACACACACATACACACATACAGATACACATATAATTTCCCCGTATTAGAATGGTAAACCCTTAAGAGCAGGGACTGTCTTGAGCCCTCTTCTTCCTATATTATTTTGCTTGATGATCTTATCAACTCCCATGGATTCAATGATCATCTCTATGCAGATGATTTAAATTATTTATTCAGCCCTAATCTCTCTCCAGGGGCACTTAGGTGGTACAGTGGTTAGAGTACCAGGCCTGAAGTCAAGAAGATTCATCTTCCTAAATTCAAATCTGGCCTCAGATACTTACTAGCTGTGTGACCCTGGGCAAGTCACTTAACTCTGTTTGCCTCCGTTTCCTCATTTCTAAAATGCAATGGCAAACCACTCCGATATTTCTGCCAAGAAAACTCCAAATGGAGTCATGGAGAGTTGGATACGACTGAAAATGACTGAACAACAGCAGCAATCCTTCTTCTGACCTCTAGTCTTGCATCTCTAATTGCCTATTGAATATCTCAAACTGGCTGCCACCTCAAACGCAACATGTCCAAAACTGATCTTGTTCTATTTCCCCCCAAACCCTCCCTTCTTCCAAAGCTCCCTATTATCCTTGAGGGCGCCATCATCCTCCTTCACTCAGGCTTACAACCTAGGTGTTATCTTTGACTCTTCATTCTCACTCACCCCACAGATCCAATCTATTGCCATACCTGCTCACTTCTACCTTCATAAGGTCTCCTGTCAATGTTCCCTTCTCTCCTCTGATATAAGTGCCTCAACACCTCATGCCTGAACTATTACAATTGACTGCTAGTTATACCCTCTGGCACAGGTCTCTTCCTACTCCACTCTTGCTCCTTCTCAAACGCCCAAATTATCTTGTTAAAGCACGGTTCTGACCACATTATTTCCCTACTCAATAAGTTCCTGTATTTTCTGAATACCTCCAGGGTCAAATATAAAAATCTGGTTTGTTTTCAAAGTACTTCATAACCTGGCCCCTTTCTGCATAGGACTTACTTTTTTTTTTTTGGTGAGGCAACTGGGGTTAAGTGACTTGCCCAGGGTCACACAGCTAGTGAGTGTTATGTGTGAAGGACTTACCTTCTACAGATGGGTTACAACGTGCTTGTAGAATCCATAGATCATAGATTTAAATCTGTGAATGAATAAGCAGGCATTGAACAATAATGATGTGTGCTAGGCATTAGGGAAAGTACAAAGCATAAGAGAGTCCCTGGGCCCAAGAAGCTTATAATCTAGGAAAAGAGAAGAATGTATAAAACAACAACATTGTCATTGAATTCAGATAGGCATAATTCTAGAATACAGAAAGCAATAGCATTCTGATAGCACTCAGACAACCGTGCTCCCATTGTATTTTGTCCAGATCAAAACACGAAGGACTTAATGGTAGGTTCATCCTAGTCCAAATGCTTCATTTTTTTCATGTGAGGAAACTAAGGGCCAGGGAGGTTAAATCAGTCAGTCAGTTAGTCAGTCAATCAATAAACATTTATTAAGTGCTTACTATATGCTAGGCATTGTGCTAAGCTATGGTTAAGTGACTTACTCAGGACCACATAGCAGATAAGTTGCAGATCTGGGATTTGGACTCAGATCATCTGATATCATTTCTCTCTACTGTACCACATTATTTCTCATTGCGAAGTAAATGTGAGCTACATAAAAAATAACTAAAAATTAATTTTGTGAGCATTAATAACTGAAGAAATCAGAAAAGTCCCCTTGAGCGAGGTGGTGCTTGAGCTGAGCTTGAGAGGAATTAAGGTTTCTGAGATGTGGAGGTGAAGACTGGAGCACTGGTGAGACATGAGAAGGGAGAAGAGAGAGAGGAGAAGCGAAGAAGTAGATTATAGGATCATTGATTTAGAGACATGGTCTAAGGTCATTTGAAGGTCTTTTAGTCCAACTCTATCATTTTACAAATAAGGAAGCTGGGGCTCGGGAAAGGTTAAGTGACTTGCCCAAGATCACACAAGATAGATTTGGGAGTAATTTATATAGGAGTGACAGCTGCAGTCATAGAAAAGCTATCCCAAAGAAAGAGGGATAGTAAGAGAGAAGAGAAAAGTTTACTCACCTCATAAGTCTCAGCACAGGAATCGGCACAGGGTAAGTACTCAAGAAATCTTCCAGCTCTAAAACCTTGGGTTCCATGATCCTTGGTTGTTGATTGACTGCTAAGAATTCTCACTGACAGAAAGAACAGGCAGTCTGTCTCACCTAAACGAGACAGAGGCTCCAAGAGGAAAACTATTTTGAAGATAGAAAATCCACTGACTTCCCTTAACATACAAGTACGGGCACTGTCCTGAAAGCCTGTTGCGGACACTGTCATGGTTATTTATAGAATGCCAGAGTTAGAAAGTGACCTTAGACATTATACAGGATAACTTACTCATTTTAGAGATGAGGAAATTAAAGACCAGAAAAGAAAAGTGAGCTGATCAAAGTTAGCAACATAGGGACTAGAACTTAGGTCTCCTGACTCATCTCATCCAAGAATCTTTCCACTAAATCACAACATCTCTTATCTTTACTTGTACCTAGAGATGAATGAGCAAGATTGACACATGGAGCAAACAATGGTGTGTGTGTCCCAGGAGAGTTTTGGGGCTGGATGGACATGGATAGGAAGAGAGAAAAGACTTAAATTTGTCTTACTGCTCTGGTATAAGACCAAATGGGGAAATTAAAAGAGACAGTAGCCTAATGTAGCCTTCCAAGAGAGACGGGAAATTTCTTGGTCAATGCCAGGCTTGGGAGATCAATCAATTAATCAACAAACATTTGATTGACTACTGGGCCAAACACTGCTGTGCTAAGCACTGGGGATACAAAAAGAAGCAAAAGATAGTATCTGCCCTCAAAGAGATTACAATCCAATGGGGAAGACAAGATACCAACAAATATAAACAAAATAAGCATCCAGTTTGGGTCCAGTTTTGTCCCCTCAGAAATCACTTGGGGAAGAGACTGAGGCTGGTAAACTTTTATTTGCCTAGCATGGGAAGGGGCTGAGATGATTTTAAGAGCCAGCTCCTAGGTCCTATTAAAGATGGGAACCAGAAAGTGAGTAACAGGGGAAAATCAGAAGAAAGGGTACTGAAATTAGCAAAGATATTGGGAGGAAGAAAACTCAGTTAAAGACCTTGAGAATAAATAGATTAACCAACAAGAGAAATATAAACAGAAGAAGAAAATATGGCCTTCAGATCAGATAAAAGAGTCCAGGAATCTGTGAATACACATCGTAAGACAAAAAAAGAGATGAATCAGCAGATGATGAGACAGAGGATTCTGTGGATTCCCAAGAACCATAGAAGAATGTTCCTGAATGGTTTAAAAGAGAAATAAGAATCATGGAAGCAGAATTTATATCCTGAACAGCAGGAATAATTGGCAGAATAGAAAAAAAACTTGAATCCATGGTGTCAAATCTTAGTGAGAGAGAACAACTGATTGGGAATACAAATCCACAGAAATAAAGGACAATGTGAAAGAAGAAAAGCAAAAAGCAGGGATGGTCTTACTTTTGTATTTGTATCCCTAGTGCCTAGCAAAGTGTCTGGCACCTGGTGCTTAATACATACTTATTGGTTGATTGGGTAAGATTCAGTATCTACCTTCAAGGAGCTCACAATCCAGTTGGAGAGATAAGACTATCACACATGGAACAACTGGGGAACTACTCTGTGTGGTAAAATAGGTAATAATCATGAGAAGGGAGAGGCTAGACAAAGTTATCAGGGAAAGTATTATGGAGGAGATAGGACCTGAGTTGGGTGCACCCTGAAGGAAAGTTAAGATTTTTATAGGTAGAGAGGATAAGGAGAGAGCATTGTAGGTAGAAACAAAGGCATGGAGGTGGGAAAGAAGAGAAGTATCCAGGGAGGATATTGGCTTGATTGGAATGGAGGGTAAACAATTGGAAGCAATGTGAGATGATGTACTAAGCAGTAAAATGGAACCAGTCTGTGAAGGGCACTAAATGTCACGGAGAGGACATTGGGTCCCGGTATGGTAAGCTACAGGCTTTCCAAAGAGGCCTACATTTTAACAGGCAACCTTAGCTGCAATAGCTTCTCCTCCATATTCTCTGAGGCTGTCTCCTTTTTTCCAGGCCCAGGAGATTTTATTCCAAATCAAGGTTATGGAGGGAGAAGAGAGGAGAAGAAAGGAAAGGAGAGGAGAGAAGAGGGGAAGAGAGAGAGAGAGAGAGAGAGAGAGAGAGAGAGAGAGAGAGAGAGAGAGAGAGAGAGAGAGAGAGAGTTTCACTCTGAAAAGTACTCTGAAGTTTGTCTCTTGGGTCCAGCTCCATGATTTTTCTGGGAATCCAGCTTGAAACAGGAATCCTTGCTCTTCTCTGCAGCCCAAGAGCTCACCAAGAGTCCGTGCTGAGCTGTCCATGTTGGGAGGGCAGTCAGCTAACTTTTCCTTTTATGAAGCTGGGGGGGTGGGAGTGGGTGGGTTTGTGAAACAATTAACAGCTGGATCCTCTTTTTCACCCCATCCTCCAGTTTCCCTAAAAAGACAGGCCTAAAGGGCTCTTAAAATGCTCTGTCTAGATTCACTCTCCTTCTCCTCTTGGGGCCCTATGGCCAGGGACTGGAAGCTCAGACAACTGTCAGAAGTCATTCCAATCACAAATCTGGCAGCTTTGGGGGCAGCGTTGTGATTGGCTCCGGACTGGGAAATCTGTAAAATGCCAGGAGTCTTTGGCACTCTTGGCTCCCCATCACAAAGGGCTCAGAGCAAAGCCTTTAATGGGGGCAGGATGAGGTCACTACTTGGGGGGAAGGTGGGGAGAGAACATTTACTTCCCCTGTTTCTTCCAGGCTTGACTCTGGAAAGGGAGTACGTTCTATAGGCTTGGAGCAATAGGCAAAACAGGGAGTTGTAAAGGCAGTAGACAGAGATAAACAGAAGAAATAGCTAATACACATAATGCTATGAATTTATAGAACAACTTTATCCTCGCTGATCAGTCCAAGGGCTTCTTTCACAAAGGGCTCTGGGTACCTCTACTTGTGATCAGCTTCCCAACTGCACCGATGCTATCTCTCTTTGAAAAAAACCAAAGAAACATTTTTTGGTCTCGAATAGTGATACTCGGTTTATTTTAGCTTTATTTGTGCCTTTTGTTTTTATAATCTTTTTCCAATTACCCATTCCCTGACAAAGAACTCTCCTTGGTTCTCAAAGACAAACGATCAAGCAGAAGTCACTTACACCATCCTGACAGCTCCAGTGACAATCAGCTCCCGTAGCCCCTCACATTGGTCTGCTGAGATGGGGGATTTGTGTTGGCTGCAGGGATGTGCTGGTCAATGTTAAACAGCTAGGTCTCTGAAAAATAAGCTAATCTGCATCATTAACATTTTTTCCATCACTTTCTTAAGTCTAGACAGTCAATGAAACAATAAGTCAAGCCCTGAATTTTTAGCATTTACCAATTTCTGAGGTGTCAATGCTCACATGTTAGTACTATGTTGGCACCATGGGTGATACAGGGAAGCATAGTTCCTGACCTCTGGGAGCTCATAGTGTAGTTGGGGAGAGAGAATTAACCACATGGAAATAAGTACTTTATCCAACTAACTACAGGACAATCTGGGTAATACCATGTTAATGACAGAGGATGGAGGCACTCAGCCAATATATCTGGGCCAAGTCAAACCCCACTTATACCTCAAATATTCAGGTAAACAAAGCCAATATAAGGCTTTGGCCAAGTTTGGGAGATAATTGCTTTTTCTCTTCATTTTAGTAGGTCATCTATAGGCTGGCCCTGTGGTGCTGAAGAGATGGGGATCCAGCTACTGCTGAAACTTGAAAGGAGGTGAATGTGTTGGCATTCAAGTTCTACTTGGGAGGTAAGAAAGAGGGAGAGTTGCAAATTTCTGAGCAGGGCTACTGGGTCACCATCAGGAAGGTCTCCTCTTCCAGTGAACTTCTAAAAAGCTGCCAGCAAGGGAGAGAATGCAAAACTAAATAAGAATGCCAGAATGTAGAGAACGCACACCAAATAAGAACACCAGAATATAGAGAATGCACACCAAACAAAGCTGCCAGCAGGGGTGAGAATGCTCACCAAATAAGAATGCCAGAAAGAGAGCTAGTACCTTGTCCCAGGTCCCTTCCATCAACCCATGCAAGTTTTCTGTATGTTACGTTTTGCACTTGTACTCTAACAAAGGATGCCAGAGAGCAATAGGATTTGGGGGTTTTTTTGGTTGTGTGAATCACCTGCATTTCAAAACGGGGATAGTACAGCAGGAACATGAGCCCCTGGAATTTTCCCATATGATCCTAAATGTAAATCTGGAGACCTTAGAGGCTATCCAGTCTAGCCCTTTCATTTTACAGATGAGGAAACAAGCTCAGAGTAGAGTGACTTGCTTAAGATCACATAGTTAGTAGATGGCTGAGCTAGGATTGGTACTCAGGTCTTTTGACTTCAAGTTAAACACTCTTTGCCCTATAGGGTACAAGATCCTCTGTCATCCCAACAATTTAGCATCATTTATGAAAGATGTCTGGCCCCAACCCTTATGACTACAAAGTTAAGGACACAGATTGGACTTTCAGAGGCAAACTCTGAAGGTTTGTATTTGCTTTCTTGTGGCTGGAGCTGATATCCCAGGCACTTTCCAACTCAAAAGTTCTTGGATTCTTGGAGAAAATAAGACACTCAGAAGATTTGATAATTGGGACTTGGAGGAGAAGAAAAAAATCACCATTGGGCAAAGACACAGCAACTGTTTTTATTCTCTGTTTTATTTTTACAGATATTATCTTTCTATTCTGCCACTCCACCTTCTTTTCACAGCAAACTGAAGATGGAAGGGGCGGTGGGCAGCAAATGGGTTGTGATTGCCTCTGAAACAGTTTGTTAACAGGTTTACTGTGGGGGTGCTCCTGGTTTGCAGAGGTTGTCTTGTGGCCAGCTGAAATGCATGGCAGGGCAAAGCTAGCAATGTGCTCACCATCCGTCACCAAGCTGGGGGCCAATAGAGACCACACTCACTTTCCATTCTCTGCTAGTTTCTATAAATTGCACACAGATGCACATGACTGGCCTCCTTAAGGGACTTGGGATTCTGAATACAGAAATGGAACTTGAGGCCCATTATGCTGAAGCTTATGCAGGAATAATGAGGGGAAAGATACTGTAATGGGAGTTTCTGCGTCTAATAAAGGGAAATTTATTCAGAGAGTTCCATGTTAGCCTGAATACCGGTTGGTCTTAAAACAAAACAAAAACCCCCTCCCACAATGCCAGGCTCGCCTG